CGGTGGTTCATTGCACCTCCCAAAGTGTTGTTTTGAGCAATTGGGACATCTAGGTGGCCCCGAGTTCTGTGGCCTAGGTCCGTGCCACCTCGCATCCCTATTCTTCTTTGCCGGTGGAGCCGGCGCCTTGAATGAGCCACCGCCACCACCACCACCCCCGTGGTTGTTCCTTCGAGAATGATCGGGTGGCCCCGAATTATTCCACTTCCTTTTCTTCACCTCTTCGGCGTCCCTTGCTTTCCTCTCATTCCACTGGGCCTCTCCAAGCATGCCCTGCTCTACCACCTCACTAAAGGTCATGAGGCGGGAATACGTGGCACGATCTCGGATGTCCAAGAGTAAGGCATCCCAGAAGTGCTCAGTCATGCGGTCCTCATCGATCGCATACTCCGGCAAGAACCTAGCCAAGGTCCTAAACTCTTGCTCCAGTTGCTTAACCGTGCAACCCTCTTTCTGCTTGAGGTTGGTATACTCCCTCCTTTTCACATTAACCTCGAAATCGGAGTAGTATTGAGCATAAAATTCTTGCTCAAAATTTTCCCATGAGATGTCCCCACGGTATTTACCTTCTACACCTTCCCACCATGTAGAAGCCATCCCCTCAAGTAGCCGTGAAGCGACAGTTAGCTTCACGTCCGGAGTAATCTGCATGTCTCTCGATGCATCCTTCACCTTCTTGATCCAATCGGCGGCAGCGGTAATGTCGCCGGTGCCGTCGAAGGACCTACACCCCAAGGCCCTAGCCTCCTTGAGGTATTTGGAGATTCTTACTACAAAACCTCCTTCATGCCCACCTTGTGGCGCCGCTGGGGTGGCCACGGAAGCTCCCCGACTCCCTTGACCCGAACCACCACGAGAGCCACGCCTTGCTTGGCGCCTAAGGTCTCTCCTCAGCTTTTCTTTTTGATACCACTCAAGCAATTCGCCCATTTGAGCAAACTTGGCATCACTCTCTTCGTCGTCATCATCGGTGTATGTGTCACCACCATCATACGGGGTCTCCTCATGCTCCGTTTCCGGAACGTAGGTTGAGTCATAGTCCTCGGTGTTGGTTTCATACACCGAGCTTACATGGCCATCACTCACAGTTTGAGCTTGATGACCTCCACGGCTTCCACGGCCTCCACGGCCTCCTCTTGAACCCCGAGATGCAGCCCGGCTTCCCCTTTGGGATGTTACCGGCGCCTGCCCCCTCGGATTGTTCCTGGTCCGCATTCGCCTGCCCTCCATTTCTGAAAGAAATATGGATGAGTCATTAGACTCCTATAAATGTGAATGTCAATTGACGGAAGAACGCTACAGACACGTATTGGCCCAAGTCACCACCATACCAATTGTTAAGGGTACCGTCTTAACAATTAGAGGCCTTGCAACTTAAGCTCCAATAGTCCCATAAACGTCAAAATACAATGCCCATGGTTTTCGGTAAAAACTCTTTTGTAAAATCTCATGTGAGAGGTTGATTATATAGTTTAGAACTGAGATGGCTCAGATACCACTTAATTGTCACGCCCCAGACCGCAATCCAAGCGCGTGTACAACCGCCGTATAATCAAGTGACGTCACCCGCGAGTCAACCTCACTTAATTACACAAGGCGTTCGAGAATATAAACCATCCATACTCAGTAGTAAACATACATAACAACATCACACTTAAACCAATGAATAGCGGAAATATTCAACGGTAAGTCATAAGCCACAACCGGCCAACAACATGAGCATGCAAGCCCCAAAAGTAGTTTATAGCAAATAAAAATATCCATGAGCAATGTTTAGTCATTTGAAAGGAAATGAGGAAGCACGAACCACGTCTTCCTTGACTTGATGTCACCCGTAGAAAGGTGCAGGTAGCAAGCCCTAGCTTCAACCTGAAAATGGTGGGGCCCCCCGAAGGGGTCAGTACAAGTACCGAGCGAGTAGCAGGCTAAATATAGAATAACTAGCGTTTCAAGTATAAGACCCAAACATAGGATGATACATATACGTATAGTCTTTCCCCCAAGTTTGAAATACATATTAGTATACATACACTTGGAAATACCCGACCCGTAGGTCATTGTTTATTTGGGAAAATAATAGTAATAGTCAGTATTCTTGACTAAAAACCCCAACCCCACCCATATGCCTATGAGTGTATAGAACTCCTCCTTGTTTAAGTAAATTATCATAAGGACACCGCCCGGTCCTAGATCATTAAATGTAATCTATGAGTTTTGAGGATACACGCCCGATCCTTGGGTACTCCACCCTATAACTGAGTTTTGAGGATACCGCCCGATCCTTGGGTACTCCACCCTATATAACCGAGTTTTGAGGATACCGCCCGATCCTTGGGTACTCCACCCGTTATAACCGAGTTTTGAGGATAACCGCCCGATCCTTGGGTACTCCACCCGACCTATGACTTACCACATATCACACTAGATAGGGTCTATATCATATTTAGTCATTCATAACTAATTCAATACATAAGGCTTATGTATCACAATCCATGCAAAGCCATGCAATTATATAAATGTATAATTAACTAATATCAACCGATATTAACTAATCCATTATCCATCGGTCAACATTGTCGTTGACCGCCAATTCAAGCCTTGTACCTATCAACTTAATCATCATATAATTAAGTTAATAATACTCATTTGTGCTTCTTTTACACTTCAAGCTAATATGCATTTTATACAATTCCTCATATCATATTTCATGCATAAACAATTAATTCTTTTCATACAACTTAATAATGTTGGCTAATCACATGTTTAAATATCTTTTAAACATCATTATGAACACATATAACATTTATTTAGGTAATCTCATAATTAACCCAAAAGTTATAAGATATTAAGCCGTCCACTCACCTTGAACTAGCGTTAAGAAGTTCTACCCTTCTTGGTTGAACTCCGGTGAAACTCCGGCGACTTTTGGTCAACTCCGGCGACAATTCCGGCGACTTTTCCAACTTTGTGAAATCACTTGAAATACCCTTTACAAGTGCCTAACAAGGTTTTATAATCATAAAACCCATGTTAATACAAATAACCTCAAAAAGGTTATTTTCCGGTGAACCGGTCGTTTTGACTTCTAAGTCCGTTCTTGGACATAGAATCACTTCCCAACCCATAAATCCATACTTATAACATGTAGAACCCTCTTAAGGATCCTTCACATGATATATATCTTATATGGTAGAAGAAAAATAAAGGAAAAGTTATAATAAGGTCATTACCTCAATTGTTCACACCTTTCCCAACCTTTTTCCTTCTCCAAACACTCCTCTTTGGACCTTCTTCCTTGAGCTCGAATTTGGGTGTGAAAATGGTGAATTGTAGAGCTCCCCCTTGCTATTCTTGGTTGCTTGGTCGAGCCAATGAGTGAGGGAGGGGAGGGGATGGCTCTCTTTGTCTCATTTGGCAAATGAGTGAGGAAAAGGGCCCCTTTGGGTGTACCTTTGATGCCCAAGCCTCCTCCTCCACACTTTCCTTAGTCAACTCCAGCCCATCCTTGCCTACTCTAGCACAAAAACGTGGGGTGGCCCCCACTCATGTGGGAGGTCATCCCTTTGTGTCCCGACGTGTACAATCGGTCCCGAAAGTTGTATTTTTCGGACTGTTTTAATCATATTTTATTTTATCGGGTCAAATAAAATATATTATGTGCTCTTACTCATTATGACATGTATAATGAATATACATTCCCCAAATTTAATTTATAAGCCTCCGAAATTCATTTCCGGGCTGTTACCGGTTAAATTGTCGGTACCGGTAATTGGGCCTCTTTTTCCCAATCGGTCAACTCTACGCCTTGCCACGACCCAAATGAAATACTCACCACTATATAAATATTATCTTGACCAAGATGAATAAAATATGTGGTCTCGGGAGTGTCGGGCGGCCCCGCTTCCGGTGTGGGTCCCACGTGCAATTTACTATTCACGCGAAAGAAATAATAAAAATTTACAACTTCGTAAATTCATTAATCCTTTAATAAGGTTCGATACATTATTTACATAAAAGTAAATATATTTGGGGACGGTGTTACATATAAATTAAGAAACTGTCTCTAACACCTTACAGAAGTGCATATTGAAAAGTTTTTGAACTCCATCATGGCATCAAGTATACTGAACCATAAATTTGGAATAAAGGTTGAAGTTCTTATTGTGCTAATGAGAAATAGTGAATAATCTTTTAACTTATATTTTGGATGCGAAAGTTATAGCTAACAAAAGTATTGATCAATAAGTTTTAATTTCAAGATTATCATTCATCTCATTGCATATCATAACTCCTTTCAAAGTCAATTTCACATCATCATTTTATTTGAAAAAATAATAAAGACAAGCCAATTACAATCTCTGTGTTAAGCATCGTCAATTGTACGTTGCCGTATCAAGTGTTACCTTAAGGAGCCGGCCAGTTGCATGTTATCATGTCAAGGGTCGCCTCAAAGAGTAAATTACCTTAAGGAGTATGTGATAAAGAAACTCGTGCTACACTATGGTATATAAAGAACTTTTCTAAAAGCGATAATTTTTTTTGTACAGTGCCAACACATATGACAATTCATTTTTATTAAGCTTCATTGGTGTCATCGAAGGAGATATTTAAATTGTGGAATTGTGGTATTTCTTTATCAGGTAGTACTTATTCTTAAACTTTACCCTTTATTTTAAATTTACTTGCAATTTTTCATATGATCAATGCTATTCTTTTTGCTACAAACTACCATTACATAATCAAAACTACAACATATAAACTCTACTACGGAGTATATCTTTTACTTAACATGATTGCATATGATGTACCATCATAATAAAAGTTAACATTGTTATAAGAATACTACTATATATCAGTTTTTATTAACAATGGAAAAAGAAGTGGTTGAGAAGAAAACACGTCGAGGAAGGAGAACGCTTTATAATTGATGGATAGAATTTCGATAATATATAAACAAGCCTAAATCCGAAAACAATAAATGAATTGAAACACAATATATATATGAGCAGATGCTGGAGTTATAACCCCTGCAGTTTCAAGCCATTGTACAAGACAACATAAATCTTTTACGATCACTCGTTTTAAGAGATTATTACTAATCGATGCATATCTCTAAATAAAATAATGTACGGAGTAGTTATTTTCTTATTGGGACCCTAATTAAAGGCATAGAAAGGGACCGCAGAAAGTAGTCAACAATGCTTTTAAGGTTCAATTTGATGTTTAATGGGAAAAAATGTTGTGCACATGGGCGGAACATGAAGGGCACCCAAATACACATAACCCATGGGGGTGATGGGGTGGTGTCCTTTAATGCCTAGCTAGGATCATACAGTCATACCTATTCCCAATCTATAATCTATTGCAATTATTGTTGCTTTCATTTTCACCCTAGCTTCAATTGTTTTCTTATACGGAGTGGAGTATAAAGAGAATTGATTATTCTCTTTCATTGTATAATGTAATTGTAATTTTGATGCAATTTAGACTCTTTGGTAACCCTTTTCCAGAGTAATTTTTATCAAATACCTACATAATTTTATTTCACCTACTTTATAATAGTGTAATTAATCCTTAATTAGGTTTCCATATTTATTTGTTTCCTAATGTACTCAGAACTCCTTTTATTATATATATGACATCTAGGCTACCACAATTGGTATGCCTTTCTATTATTCTCACATGGTATCAAGAGCCCTAGGTTTTTAATTTTTTTACGATGACTTCTTCCTCTGTCTCAACCGCCGCTGCTATTTCCGCTCCCAGCACCGCCGCTTCAACCACGCTGGCGTCTGATGTGCTGGTCTCGAGCGAAGCCCCTCCGGCCGGATCCCTTACAACATCGCTACCACCTGAAGTCCTCCACCCCACTTTTCCGTCTGGTGGACTGGTTTCGGGCTCCTCGGTCGACAATCAGTGGGTCCCGCCAATATTTACATGGACGCCTACACCGCCAACAATTCGTCCATCGCCTGTTTTCCATCTTGAAGCTCAGGCAGAATCGAGCACCACCGCGGCAGCACGCGAACGGTTTGGTGGGGCTACTTTATCGGGCACTCCCAGTCTCCTTATGCCTCATGCGATCAATCCTATTGGTCGGGGCCAACAAAATAATTCTATTCCAGTTTCGTTCTCTGCTTTGGCACAAGGTATGACTCTTGGATCCGCAATCAATCAGATTGTCACCACTAAATTATTAAAGGTTGAAGATTACTTACCATGGCGCACTCAGTTTGAGTCGTTCTTGGTAGCGAATGGTGTTTTAGGAATCCTTGATGGTTCTCTTCCGGCCCCGCCTCTAAATACCTATGATTTATATCAGGCCCCTATAATGAATCCTGAATATTATCATTGGTTAAAACTGGATCAAACTATTCGTGCCTGGTTATTTGCTACTCTCTCTCGCGAAGTTTTGATGGAAGTTCACACTCTTAAAAATTCTACTTCTATCTGGCAAAAGTTGGAATCCCGATTTATGGCGGCCAGTCTTGCTCGTTCCATGGAGCTCAAACATCAGTTATCACACACCAAAAAGAAGGCCAGTCAGTCCATGGAAGAGTATGTCCGTGGAATTCAGACCATCGCGGACAATCTAGCTTCCATTAATTCCCCGGTTTCTGATTCTGATCTTTTACATTATACACTCTATGGATTAGGACCGGGTTATGAATCGCTTGTTGGACCGCTAACACTCTTCCCCGAAGGACTTACTTTTGACAAGTTATGCACCAAGTTGGTCCATCAAGAGGCACGATTACAATACCAACAGTCTCTTGATTTATCAATTGGTGCCCCTGCCTTTTCGGCCCAATCATCGTCTGAAGGAGCTCCAGCCGTAGCTCATGCCGCCGGCCATCAACAGCAAAATCGTGGGGGGCGTGGAGGCCGCCGTGGACGCGGACGCGGGCGCGGCCGTGGACGTTACCATCAGCAGCCATCGATTTTTGGTCAGCCACCACCAGGGTACGGCCAGCAACCTCCAGCGCCCGGACAACATTCCCAGCAGTTCGGTCAGCGTCCTCCATTCCAGCAGCAACATTCTTCCGGCCGAGGACAGCAGTACAACAATTTAATGGGTCAACCTGGTACAGTCTTTTGTAATTCAGTTGCGTCATCGTTTTATACTCCTGCTCTATCTACCTTTTGTACTAACAATGTTTCTGCAGGATTCCCCTCTTTTGAGAATAATTTTGGTTCCGTACCACCACCCGTTGTCTGCCAAATCTGTCATTCTCCAGGTCATTCAGCTGTTTCGTGTTCATCTCGTTTTTTACAATCTAATACTCCTGCACTAGCTGTTCCCACTGGTGAATCCACTCCCGCTGTTTGGTATCCTGATTCCGGGGCTTCCGCTCACATGACCGCTAATGAAGGTATTTTGGTTAATAAATCTATTTCTTCTGGACCACTTTCTATTACAGTTGCAAATGGATCTACTTTACCAGTTATGACTATAGGTGACTTGCATCTGTCTACTCCGCCTCGATCTCTTCATTTAAAATCTGTTTATCATGTTCCTAATCTTAAATATAATTTACTATCCATTCAAAAATTATGTGCCGATAATAATTGTTTTGTGGTTTTTGATAAAAACTCTGTTTCTGTTAAGGACAAAATTTCGGGGAAGGTGCTTCTTCAAGCTTCCAGTAATGGAGGTGTTTATCCTATTTCTCTGTCAGCCTGTTCACCGGTCGCTCTCATCTCACATGTTGCCTCTGGACCAGTCTGGCATCGTCGGTTGGGACACTGTGGCAGTCGTATTTTAGAACGTCTTAGGAAGTCTGGCAATCTACTTAGTACTTCCCAATTTTCTCATAATTGTATTTCTTGTCGCCTAGGAAAATCACAACGGTTACCTTTTCAAGAAGTTTGGCATAAATCTACTGCTCCTTTATTTTTAATTCATTCTGATGTTTGGCAATCTCCAGTTCTGTCTACAAGTGGTTTTAAATATTATGTTTTATTTATTGACGATTTTTCTCGCTTTACTTGGCTTTATCCAATGCGCCGTAAAAGTGAAGTTATGAGCCACTTTCGCAATTTTAAATTAATGGTGGAAAATTTATTCAATGCTAGAATTAAAATTTTTCAAAGTGATGGAGGGGGTGAGTTTGATAATCATGGTATGCGTGAAATTTTTCTTAACAATGGCATTTTGTTTAGGAAGTCTTGTCCTGACACTCCTGAGCAAAATGGTGTTGCTGAGCGAAAACATAAGCATTTACTTGAACTAACTCGCACTATGCTTCTTGAAGCAAAAATGCCAGCTAGTTTTTGGGTGGATGCCGTTTTTACCGCAACCTATATTATTAATCGTCTACCCACTCCAAATCTAAATGGGGCTTCCCCTTTTGAAAAATTATTTCACCATTCTCCTGACTTCTCTTTTATGCGTGTATTTGGTTGTGCTTGTTTTCCAAACTTTATTGCCACTTCTGCCAACAAATTATCTCCGCGGTCTATTTTATGTGTCTTTTTGGGCTATGCCCCGGAGTACAAAGGTTATCGTTGCTTAGATCCTATTAGCGGCAAGATCTACATTAATCGGAATGTTCGCTTTTATGAAGATATCTTTCCATATTCCGCTCTTGTCTCCTCATCTCAACCTACTGCACTACCACCATTATCACCGCCCAATACTGTCCGCTTTCATACCAGCTCCTTACCAAACTCCCTGCCAGCGCACATCACTTCCGCCGCACCTTCACCACCCCAAATCAACTCCCTACCAGGTTCTCCTCCTTCGACCGACCCTTCCTCCAATTGCCCAAACCCCTGCACCATCCACTCCACTTCTCCATCGCACACAGTTCCGCACGCAGCCAGCCCTCACCCCTTTTCATCCGAGAACCTATCTGACCTTGACCTTTTCCATCCTTCAGGTCGGCCATTGACCTCTGCTACCCCGACCGCTGCCAACCGCCCAACCCCGACCACAATCACCACGCCAACCTCTGTTCCAGCCGTGACCGAGCACATCCCTTCACCATCTGCACCTTCCTCGAATACAAATTTCCCAGTTAACGGGCATCCCATGCAAACGAGAGCTAAATCTGGCATTTTTAAACCAAAACTTATTTTTAACCTCAAAACTGATATTTCGGCATGTGATCCATCTTGTTTTTCTATGGCTAATAAGGATGTTAAATGGAGAGAGGCTATGGCGGAGGAATTTAATGCACTCATTGATAATCATACATGGGATTTAGTTCCATTTAATCCTTGTAAAAATGTGGTCGGATCTAAATGGATTTAGAAAACTAAATTTAATTCTGATGGGTCGGTTGAGAGGTATAAAGCTCGTCTGGTAGCTCAAGGATTTACTCAACAAGCTGGTGTGGATTTTTCTGAGACTTTTAGTCCTGTTGTCAAGCCCACTACTGTTCGTATTGTTTTATCTCTTGCTGTTTCGTTTAATTGGGTTATTCGTCAGCTAGATGTCAAAAATGCATTTTTACATGGTAATCTGACTGAAGAAGTTTATATGCGACAGCCTCCTGGCTTTATTCATCCCCAATTTCCTAACCATGTTTGTCGTCTACGCAAAGCTATATATGGCCTCAAACAGGCTCCTCGAGCCTGGTTTTACAGATTTAGCAGCTTTTTGTTGACGCATGGTTTTGTTTGTAGTAAGTCTGATAATTCCTTGTTTATATATCGTCATGGCTCCGTACTTATTTATCTTCTCTTATATGTCGATGATATTATTGTTACTGGTAATTCCCCATCCTTTATTTCCACATTTATTTCCTGTCTTGGTCGATATTTTGCCATGAAAGATTTGGGGGATTTACATTTTTTCCTAGGTGTCCAAGCTGTTCGAGTACAATCTGGGTTATTTTTATCTCAGCAAAAATATGTGTCTGATCTTCTCACCAGATTTCATCTTCACACTCTTAAACCTGTTCGTACCCCTCTTGCTACACGAACTAAACTTTCTCTCACTGATGGGGATCTTCTAGCAGATCCATCTGAGTATAGAAGTATGGTAGGTGCTTTACAGTATTTAACTATGACTCGACCTGATATTACATTTGCTGTTCACTTGGTTTCCCAGTTTATGCATGCGCCCCGTACACCTCATCTTTTGGCTGTTAAGAGAATTTTCAGGTATTTGCAAGGGTCTATTTCGCATGGATTACTGCTTCGGCCAAGCACAACATCTCCTACCATACAGGCTTACTCGGATGCTGATTGGGCAGGTTGTCCTGATAGCAGTCGGTCCACCTCTGGTTTTGCTATTTTTCTAGGCCCCAATTTGATTTCTTGGAAGGCTAAGAAGCAGCCTACTGTGTCTCGTTCTTCTACCGAGGCAGAGTACAGGGCCATTGCTTACACTGTTCAGGATACTCTGCATATACATTCCATTTTGTTTGAATTGGGCTTTCCTGTTCGTGCTCCGGTCACACTCATGTGTGATAATGTGTCTGCCTCTTACTTGTCAGCAAATCCTATTCAGCATGCCCGGAGTAAGCATATCAGCATTGATTATCATTTTGTTCGTGAGAGAGTTTCACATGGAGACCTTGTTGTTCGTCATGTTCCTACACAATTTCAGCTCGCAGATATTTTCACCAAGAGTTTATCTCCGCAGCGTTTTATTTTTCTTAGGGACAATCTGCACATTATTTCTCCTGCACAGATTGAGGGGGTGTAATAGTGTAATTAATCCTTAATTAGGTTTCCATATTTATTTGTTTCCTAATGTACTCAGAACTCCTTTTATTATATATATGACATCTAGGCTACCACAATTGGTATGCCTTTCTATTATTCTCACACTTTATTTATACTAATGAAATCATGTAAAATTGAAATTAATTTTTGCCTGAATTCACTAAAGGAAATGTTTTAGCTATTTTCATATAACTTGTTGTCTGATTTGTTATTCAAATATATTTTAATATAATTTTTCATAATTTAGCAAATTAAGTCCATTCCAATTATTTTTCCATCAATGTAAACATTGAAATAGTCTTTGTGCCCTCGTTTCACTCGTTTTTCCAATTATTTTTCCATCAATATTTTTTTCATCAATGAATGTCTGAATACCACTCGTTTTCAAGTGGTATTGGATGATGTTAAAGTTTTATGCGATATTTTTTTTAGTCCCGGAGTAAACCACACGTGGTGGAGGGAGTGTCGGAGAACACTACCCAAATTTATTAAAAATAAGGCACTTACAAGAGATTAAATGAAACAATTCAGAGAAGAAAAAGCATACAATCAAAAGTAGAAAAAACAACAGGTTTTTAACATTCAATTTTTTTGAAGGTATCCCGATTGTAGATGAAATGGATCTGTTATATCGGTTATGGAACTGAATTGCCTCTCGGAGATAAGGTCAGTATATTTTTGCTTCCGGGTGAGAAGACTTGAATCGCGTTGGTGCCATAGCAAGTTTGTGTGGAGAGTCCAGCCTTTCATCAACAGGGTAAATGTAATAGTCGTCTTCATTTAGCGGGTGTCTGGATTGGCTTCATGTGACCATAGGGTGAAGGGACGGATCCAAGAATCTTAGATGCCCTGGGCTGAATAGAAATTATACTAGACTTAAATATTAAAGGGGTGGGCTAAATGCGAAAAATGAAAAAAATTACACTAAAAAAATTGAAAAATTTCTAAGTTGCCCTGGGCTTCAGCCTACCATAGCCTGTACATAGATCCTCCCCTGATAGGGTGTGATGTATATCCCACCTCGTAGAACAACGGTCTTTTTTCGAGAGTTTCGTTTGGGGGCTGGATGCAGTTGCTTTTATTTTTCCTTGCCTTCACTTCAGTAAAGCCACCGGGTTCTTCCTCTAGTGCTGAGTTTGATTGATCTGCAAGAGAAAAGTTAGTAATAATGGGGGAGTCCTCAGATTGAGTATCATCATTGGACCGGGGTGGATCAAGTGTAGTATCAGCTATGTCAAATGCTAATGATGGATCAGAATGATGTTCTTCATTTCAAAAGTTTTATGCGATATAGGGATATATGAACGGTGTTCGAAAAATGGCGTTTCAACCAAAAAAAATGACGGCTTAGCCTCTTTTATCATTTCAATAAGTGAAAACGTTGTTTGCTGGTAAATAGTTGTTCAGCTCTAGCGTTTTTGGACGGAATTTTTGAAACGAAAATACTGTCAATAAGAGAGTTTTGGGTTAACATTTTAAATTATGTCATTTTTACTAATTCTTATGATCAACCAACTAAATTACCAAACATCTTCTTATAATTCGACAACTTATTCAGACATCTAACCCGCCTGAATTGGCTATTTAAAACCCGCTAACATAATTTATTATGTGTTACTACCTCCGTCCCATTTATATTGTCCCGAAAGAAGGTGACACAACTATCAAGAAAAGTGAGTTTGTGTGGTTGATATTAATTGATAAAGTAAAAATAAAGTAAGAATGATTTAGAACTACACAAACTTTGCCAAATATGATATAAGAAAATTTAAGTGGGACTTCCCAAAAAAGTAAAACGGGACAATATAAATGGGACGGAGGGAGTATTTGCTAATTCCAAACACGCCCGTGGAGTATTTGTATTGCACGCTTAATTTTGTACTCGTAATGTTTAAATTCCGGTCTTCAAAAAATCCGGTCTTTACTCAACGTCGCAAAGTTGGAAACTCGCAACTCGTAGCTACGGCCTACGGGAACCACACGACCATGGCCGTACTTTTAATAATTTAAGAATGTTACGGAATATCACTGGGAGAGGTCAAGGGAAGAAAGAGATTAAAAGTCAAGAACTGTTTACTGAGCATGCATAAACAATTTTACATGCCAATCCAATGGTCCGTGCATACACAATTTTTTTTCGTTTTATAAAAAATACTTTCTCGATCTCATTTTATCTATCATACTTTCCCTTTTGAGTTGTCCCAACATAAGTGTCACATTTCCTCTTTTGGAAAAAAATTTGTGGTCTACATCATTTCACTTTATTATACTTAAATCTCAACCACAACTTTTACTTTTTTCAACTACTTTATTAATATTTGTGTCATGTCAAAATGAGACACAAAAAATGGAGCGGAGGTAGTATTATTTTTTGTACCAATTTTTTTTGCATGTGTCACAAACAAAATATTTTATCGGTGCGAAAAACAATTTTCTTCACAAAACGAAAAAAATGTACACACACTTGGATTGGCATTCAAAATGATGTGTATAGGAAATGTTTATAAAAAACATTTTCCAACCTGCACGGTTAGTGACGGGTAACTCGGTTGGTTGAGTGGTGGGAAATTTGGAACAATGACCAAAGTTCGAAACCCACAACCGCCGTGTAGAGGTTACAGCTCCTGCGTGCTGAGCTAGACCTCTGATGCACACGATTATAAGGTCTCCCACAATTGCGCCAATTGTGCCACCGTGACTTATTCCTTCATCGTTCTGTCTCGGGTTCTGTGGGCTGATGCAAAATTACACCTTTTGGAATAACAACCATAAAAAATACTTCGTATTTTCCACGTTTATTTAACCACATCGAAGTAAAAAAGAAGAAGGTGAAGTGAGTCTTGTCAAAGTCAAACAGACTTAAGCCAGCCAGCGTGCATTATTGTGAGTGTGATGAAACACATCTGGCCCAACCGATCGTGCTGTTCCGTCCACATCTCTTGAAATGGACAATTTGGATAAAGTTTGGTAAATTTGGTGATGGCTGACCAACTAATTACATTATCGCCATAGAATCTTTTCCCACACCCACTGACCGCCAACCACATGTATGCGACTCAGGCCTTCCTTTTGCTGGCGGTTAAAAAATACTACGTAACATAATTCCACACTAAGGATTTAAAAAGTGATTTTTAAAGTGATTTTGGGAAAAGTGATTAATAGTAAAAGTGGGTAGTGTTTGAGAAAAAAGTGATTCTGAAAAAGTAAAAGGTGGTAGTGTTTGGTAAAATAAGTCCTTTTTGTGTAATAGAATAAGTGAGAAGCAGTTTAAAGTACCTTTCTACCTGCTTCCACCTTTTAGCTTTTAAGTGATTAATTTAAACAGAAGATGTCATTTGAAAACACTCTTTTCAACTTTTTTTAAGCCAAAAGCTGAAAAACACTTTTTTAAGCAAAGCCAAACAATTTAAAAAGAGTTCCTTTGAATGGAAATCGAAAACTTTAAACAAGTTCCCCAATACACATGTGAAATCCATAGCCCATTAGCTCAAAGAACTGTGGTTGAGATTATTTTGTGAATGAAAGACTATTTTTCCATTAGTTACTATAGTTCGGAAGTGGACTTGAAAGTACTGAATTTAAATTTGCAAAGATATTGAAAATTATGAAATTATATTAAATGACTTACATAATACTCTCTTCACCCTCAATTAACTTTTAAAGTCCATTTGACAAATGAATTGATAAAATGAGTATTGCGTTGTGAAAAGTTGTACAAAGAAGAGAAAATTGTACATAAGAATATTTAAGAATTGTGAATCACAAATTCTTTCTCAAAAAGAGAATCGAAAAATTATATTAGCATAGACGAAAAAGGAAAGACAATTCAAGAATGAATCAGTATAATATATTAACACAACAACTTTCGATGATGTGTTCAATTAAAATTAGATGTATGTGTATCAGTGTATGTACACACATCCATGCAATGTACAAATGGCAATTAGATGCCGGGATAAAAATGACACATAGGAATCCAAAGCATTATACTTGAAAATGTAACGTATTTCAATTATTTGCAATCAAAGTTCATCACTATTATTAAATCTCTAACAGCTTGTGTTAAAAGTCTATATTCTCTTTAAATCGGCATCTTTGCCACTTGCTTGGGTTTTGGAGCACAGGGTAAACTCTTGTTAAATCGCGTCTTGTGATCAGTAAGGGATAATAAGTCAAGAACGCGCACTACCAAAAAAAATGCGGGATTGACAGAGATTTTGGTATGGATTTTGATAAGGATTATGCCAAATCCGTGTCAAAAACACTTTGGATCGAGATATTTGGCACGAACAGTCGGTAATTCGTGTCAAAATCCATGTCAATCCCATGTTTTTTTGTAATGACGAGAGAAGAACGAATTAGCCCAAAGAGACAAAACTAAAAATCTCTCCGATGAAGAGCGTGATAGGCGTTGGAGACGGGAGAGAATAAACTAGAGAAGAATCGAAGGGGAACTTAGAGCCCGTTTGGTAGCACCAAAATCGGCTGTTTTGGCTGATTCTGCTGAAATTTATGATATTCTGGCTGGAGTGGCTGTTTTGGCTGATTCTGCTGATTTAAGAAAAAAATATTTTAAAAATATATTTTATTAATAAATTAAAGAAAAAATTATATGTAAAAATAGCTAAAATGGTCCTCTACAGTAACTTCAGCCAATACAGCCAGAAAAGTAACTCCAACCTTACTTTTTCGGCTTATTACACAATTCAGCGCGCGAAAGTAAAAGTTACGTGTTTGGTGAAAAAGCTGGCTGATAAGCCTGATAAGCCGAAAACAGAGTTCTCCAAACGGGCTCTTAATTAGGAATAAGGATCTACTCCGTATTACGGAGTACATGATTACATCATCGGCTAAATTTGTTGGATTGAGATCCTCTGCCCGACTAGGACTGTGCCTTGCTCAACGGACGGATGAATATGAAGAAGAGCACCTCGAGATACACAAAAAATGGCCCCCAATGATCTCCGACCCTTGACGGTCCTGATCCGACGGTAGCCCTCGGCCAGGCACCCTACCTTGCTGCTAGAGCAAGGCAGAGACCCCAAATCCAAATTTGTTAGTCTTGATCTGGTCTATTTAATTTGATTTGTTCTGGCCTGGTCTGTTTGATTTGGTCTAGTCTGATAATGTCTGATATCTATTAAATGACTAAATTGGTTGAATCTCTTTAATTCCAGAAAAAATATATTTTAAATAAATACATATATAAATAAAAGATTACATGAAAAATGTCTTAAGTGATCCTTTACAAAAACTTTAGTCATTTCAGTTATAACAGTAACTCCAACCTTAATTGTTTTGATTATATCACAATTGAACATGCAGAATCAAAAGTTGCGAATTTGTTAAAAATGCAAAATGATAAATTTAAAATGGGTGCTACCAAACGAACTTCAACTCCTATTTACTTCTTGAAAAAGTATGCGTTTGTTTTCTATCTTGAAAAGCTACCTAATTTGAGTAACACGTATTTACTACGTACTAGTATAAAATATGATAGTTTTCTCCGACGTCATGAATTATTCTTTTTGTTGATGACAAAAAAAAGGGCTTGAGTGCCGCAAATTATACCGTGGGATCGGCCCACCATGCTCACGGTGTGCCGATCCCAAAACGACATCACTTTGTTAATTACAAACAACGCCGACTTCATCAATCGATAAGAAAATAAAAACAGCACATCAGTTTATCCATCTTCAGCCTGAGATCAAAAGAGTATCAATTCACAAATCAAAGAGAAACATGGGGCTGGAGCATCAATTAACATCTAATACATTTCAACTAGTTAAATTACAAGAATTGACTTATTATTTACCAATTTATTACAAATTTTTATTAAAGTACATTCTCTATACTTGTATTTGATATTATATGAATTACATCTTCTTATACACGAGTTAGATCTTCTTATGCATGAGTTACATCTTTCTCTATATGTGTTACATTTCGGCTTGCCTCAACATGTTACATTTTGCATACACCTAAGTTAGATTTTCTATCAACACAAGTTACATTTTCCATAACACTAGTTACATCATAAAATAAACCCCTTTTTATTAAAAAAACTGTTTTTAGATCAATTTTTTTTTGCAAAAAATGATTTCTTGGGGAAAATTGCCTTTTTAAAAAGATTTTATGGTCTTAATATTGAAAACAAAACATATTCACTATTTATGTAAAGTAATTGAAAATTTTGACTCATTTTTTTATTGTTTACATTGAAATCA